TTTTTTTTTTTTTTTTTTTTTTGAATGCAAATTAACGCTATTTTTATAATGATCAATTCAAACAATGCAACATCTTCACCGGGCCACTGTTTCCTTGTTTTCTTCCTTCTGCAACGTCTTCAAACAAAATTTTTTACAGTGAGTCCGGTTAATCGGCTTCAAAAACCGTTTATTGGCACCGAAAATTAATGTTTCTATGCCTATGTGCTGTTTTTGTTCGGCAGTTTCCCTCACAGAGGATAATCATAGGGAATCGTCGTCAATTTTGTTATTTTCGTTGCTGTCGTCGTCGTCGTCATCATCATCATCATAGTTGTTATCGTCTTATTTATGAATCAACCAAAAGAAATTTTGAACCTTTATAGGGACTATTAAAATGTATGAAAAAAAAGGAAGAAAGGAAAAAAAAAGAAACAAATCTGCTGAGTAACAGTTGTGTAATTTGCTCAGCAATTATTTATGGGTTGTAAAAATCTAAAAAGAAAAGCATATAATAGTAAAGAAAACAAAAAGATAAAAAAACATTTGAAAGTTGTTTGGAAAGAAAGAAAAAACCGGACAAGCATCTCTGGAAGATGTTCTAAGAAGGCAACAGAATCGGCATTTTTTGTTGTACGATGTAATAGCATATCACCACAACCGGATACCAACAGTTGTTCCAATTTACCAACATTACCATCACGTAACCACTGTTCAATGTTTGATTCCATATATGATGGTGCTACTCTACTGTGTGATAACTGTAATATGGAACAATGTATTAGTAAATGCATTAAACAAAAAAAAAACGATATACCTGTCATATATTAGCAAATAAAGTTCAACTTTAAATATATTAGTTTTTCAGTACTACGGTCTTACACTGAGTATGAAAAAAAAAAAGTACAGAAGTTGTACAGTTTACCTGTTTTAAAATTGTTGACTTGTCCATTTTCATCTCAGTAAGATTTATTTCACCGGTATGTTTGATATAATATTTTGGATTACGACCATTCTGCAACGGAAAGATGAGTCTTTATTCAGGTAGTTGAAACTTAGGTTACTTCAGTACCAGTCAATAAACATAATAAAACTGTTGCATTAATTGAGAGACCAATTAGATAATTTTATGTTTTTGCTTGCTTCAAATATTCTGAAAATGATCTGTCTTAAAGTTAAACTTTGAAGAGCATAGGCTAAAATGAACAGATGAAACTGTTGTTGTTTATGATTTGATGTTTGTCTAAAGTTTTCAGTGTTTTTTTTGAGATCCATTGAAGTACTGAAGAATCACCAGGAAATACTAAAAGATTGAGATTGAAAATCTAAAGGTTGTTAGTCTAGACTATGTTTATGCTAGAACATGTTGTTGTTGCTGTTCTCTGTGCTATTGTTGATTTTTATTTTCTGCTTTG